GACAGCTCCGAAATGAGCCGCTGGGTCTTCTGCTCTTTGGTCGGCAAGGTGGCCAGGCGCTTCCCGATGGCGATGAGGGATTTGATGAATTCTCTCTCGGGCGCAAGTCTGACAGGCTAAAGAAGGTTTAGGGGAAGGAGGGTGGGGGAGAGCGTTATAAAGGGCGCCGGCAGTTTTGCAATCAGGCTCCGCAGTCTAAAAGCACCGGAATAAACTCCAGATAGAGAAAGAGGCTCTTGCCACCCCACCCTCCTCCCCGCTCTCGGATGATGTTGCCGTGACCAGAGAGCCGGGCTCATCATCCGGAAGCAGAGCAGGGCAGGATCAAAGCGCTTTTTCCCCTCCCGCTGTGCTGTCCAGAAATCCTCCTCCCCGAAACTCCGGAGCCGACATCCCCACCAGAAGCCCCCGGATCCCCAGAGCCGCAGCCAGCAGAGGGAGCGCGAAGCGGCCTCGTCCCCGGCTCGGCGCTGGGTTTTTATTGTATCCTGACCCCGAAGCCTCGATCGTGGCACAATCCGACCATTTTGCAAAGATCAAACTGCGATTTAGGAAGCCCCTTGCGCCCAGGAGCGTCCCCCACACCCCGCAGCTTAACCCGAGCTCTCTGCTCGACTTTTTTAAGCTTTTAAATCAGAACAACAGAAGATTGTGGCTGATTTTGCCATTTAAGGTGCAGAATTAAACTTGCAGAGTGTTCACTGTACAATCATGCTGGAAATGCACATGCAAAAAGCTATGGAGCGTGAGAAAAGGAAGCAAAGAAAAACATCGGAGAGCCGGGAACGGCTGCACAGCAAAATAAAGGGATGGTAAAAAGAGGAGAAGGATCAGTCTGGTGGTTCCCCTTCGGGAAAGGGCGGTGGGAAATCGTTTGTATCTGTAGTCCACATCAAAAATCCTTCCAAAAATCCTTCCTGTCCTTTCCTCCACTCTGCTCCCCGGCCCACCTTGCTGGCGAGCGCCGCAGAGGCGAAGCCGGGACAGGAGGGAGCGCCTGCGCAGCGCCGGAGCCAGCGATACCGCTTCCACCTCCCAGGCAGAGGCTCAGTATTTAAACCCCCGCAGCAGCTGACGCTCCGTCCCCGACGGGCTGGAAAGCGCCTGGTCCCAGCTGGACCCTGCTCTGCCTCGGCTCCTGCCACCTGCGCCCCAACGCTGCCTCGGCCTCCGACTGCGTTTGATCCAACTTCTGCAGAAAGCAGAACGCTACGCAACGGACGCTCTGCGCCTTCCGACACCTCTTCCCGTCCTCTGCCACCGAACCCCGACGGCTGCGACGTCCCTGCTCCTTCTGCTCTCTGGGCGACACGCGCTTCCAGCTTTGGCACGTAGTCGATACTGGCACCACGACAGCCCCGTGGCCCCTCGCCCGCCCCGAGGTCTCTGTGCGTTACCCGTCTCAGCAGAATGGTTTAATGAAAGAGTCGCAGGTGGGAGTTTGGGATTGTGCCCAGGCGAGAAGGTGCCCACGTGCGGGAGCAGACCACGAGCGAAGTCCTCCTGGTTCAGCCCTGTGCCGATTTGTGCATCACAAGCACAGGCAGTTTTAAAACCCCTTCTTTTCCAGGGATCCCAAACCATCTCCCGAAGCATCTCCTCCCCATCTCTGAGCCAGCGGAGTGAAGCCGTGCCGACCCTGGGAGCATCCCGCTGCCTCCATGACCTGTCCTGCACCTCTGACGTTCACGATCCGGTCGAAAACCTTCAGGTCTCGGCTCCTCCAGCCAGAAACACACAGCTGGGAAATGTCCTCCCCATCCCATCCCGCTCCAAAGGCTTCCCACCGAGTGCTGCTCCGGTCTTCGGCATTATCAGGGGACTCAGCACGGGAAGTTTCGCATCCTGTTACGGACAGGCAGTTTTGGAAAATGGCATCAGCTGAACCGGGGCCGTCCCTGGCCTGAGCCACTGCAGGAAACGCCGTCTCCAGCCGCCCGAAGGGCTGCAGAAAGCCCGGCGTGCCGAAGCCGGGCTGCAGAGAGCTGCTTTTGCCCCAGCTCATTGGTATCACGGTCCTGAAGCCAAGCGAAGAGAGGAGGACGGGAGACACTCTTCCCTCATCCGACCACCCGAAGGATCCTTCTGTAGCTCCGAGCCAACATAAATATTTGCTTTCTACTGTTTACTTTCTACTACAGCAAAACATTTCACTGGCAGCACTTTGAAAAAAGAATATTCCTGCTCTTAAATTAGGCAGGGCGTTGTGTTTGTTTTGCTAAGACACGCTCCAGGAGCATCCTTCTCCCCTTCAAACCGCTTCCCAGGACTGGGCAGGGACCACGACGCAGATCCGTTCCCGGCTAGAGGACCGGCAGAGGAGGGAGACGCAGCCGACGGCTTCGGAGCGGTGCCGGCGGTGTCACGACGCGGCGAAGGGGCAAGGCTGGTCCAGCTCTGCACAGCCGGCACGCCTGGGCGGCTTTGTCGGGGTGAGGTTTAAGTATCTCAAAAAACAGCGGGGTTAGTTTCGGACGCTTTTCAGCCTCAGCTGCCGAAGTGTTTTCTGCTGCTCTACCTACCTTTACCCCGAGGTCCCGACCGGCCTCCTCCGCTCAAACCACCACAATTCGTCATTTCAGAGCTTTACGCAGCAAAGTCGTGGCCGCTCCCATTGCTGCTGCCCGCAGTCACTCACTCCACGGGAGCGAGACCCATCTGACCCGCTCGGAGTTTAAAGCGCTCAGCGGTGCGGAGCAGA